TAGGGTTTAGTGTTCTGGAGATTCAGTGTGTAGGTTTGGGGGTCTAGGGTATTTAGGGTTTAGAGTTTAGGGTTTAGTGTTCTGGAGATTCAGTGTGTAGGTTTGGGGGTCTAGGGTATTTAGGGATTGGAGTTTAGGGTTTAGGGTTTGGGGTTAGGGTTCAGGGTTTGGGGGCTTAGAGTATTTAGGCATTGGAGTTTGGGGTTTAGGGTTTGGGGTTTAGGGGTCAGGGTTTGGGGGTTTAGGGTATTTAGGGATTGGAGTTTAGGGTTCAGGGTTTGGAGTTTGGGTTCAGGGTTTGAAGGTTTAGAGTTTAGGGTATGAATAGGGCTTAGGATTTGGGGTTCGGAGTTGAGGGTTTAAGATTATCGAGATCCGGGTTCGGGGCACAAGGTTTTGAAACCCCAAGCCCTAAAAAAAAAAAACCTAAACTTTGCAACCCCATGAGAGGAAGCCTATTGATGCAAACGCAACCTCTATGGGTCCCATCAGGCTTGGGGGCATTGTAGGGGGGGGGCTTTATCTGCATTCCCCGAATCAAGGGTAGACCCTAAACCCTAAACCTGTATGCCCTTAAGCTCGGTCGTAAACCCAAGATCCAAAGGCCAACTTCAACAGCCCAAGCGCCAAACGCAAGACCCAAGATCCAAACCAAAAAACCCAGCCCCGAAATCCGCATCCGAAACCCTAAACCCTAAGCCCCGAAGCCTTAAACCCTAAACCCGTAAGCTCTAAACCCTCTTGAGAGTTGAGAGGTTTCAGCCTTTTCTGTGTCAAACCTCCATATGGGAGTTTCCGAAAATAGGGGATCCTTTCTTTTAGTACGCTACATAGTTGGGCCCTTATCGTAAGGACCCCAAAATAAGGTACCCCAATTTGGGGAAACTCAAACTCCCATATGAGGGGTCATACATCTGTGCAAGCCCCCAGTGGGTAGGGAGCTGGCAGTTCGCATCCTTTAAAAAAACCGGCCCTGAACCCGTACTATCCGAGCCTCAATAATTGATTAGAATAGGGCTACTAAGAGATTAGGGTTAAGGGCTCTTAATAATTAGAATAGGGTTTGGGGGAAAGTTGTACTAGAATTGTAAAAAGGAACCCACCAAAATAGACAAGGCAATTATTTAGGCCCCCACAGCAAGCCCTAAAACCCTAAACCCTAAACCCTAAACCCTAAACCCTAAACCCTAAACCCTAAACCCTAAACCTAAACTCGAAGCCCTGTTTAGGCCCCTGCACCAGCGGCCCCGGCCGTCCCGCCCTCCCCGAAGATCGCATCTTTGACGGCAGATCTGCAGGGGGGGTTTAGGGTTTAGGGTTTAGGGTTTAGGGTTTAGGGTTTTGGGTTTTGGGTTGGCGGCAGCTTTCAATGGACTACAAAGCTGGGATGAAGGTTTAGGGTTTAGGGGTTTGGGTTGAAGGTTCAAGGTTTAGGGTCTAGGGGTTCGGGTTTAGGGTTCAGGGGGGTTTGGGTTCAGGGTTTAGGGATTGTTTGTTTAAGGTTCAGGGCTTCGGGTTTAGGGATTCGGGTTTAGGGGTAGGTCCTATGGGTAAACCCATATGGGTAACTATCAAAAAATCATGGTCCCTTTGGGGAGCCCCATATAATTCCAGTCTTAATGCGGCACCCTAGGGGTTTTGAGACCCTAATTTGGACAAGCAACCCCAAACCCTAAACCCTAAACCCTAAACCCTAAACCCTAAACCCTAAACCCTAAACCCTAAACCCTAAACCCTCATAAGAGCCCTCATGTGAGGGATCCTTACTCCTACCTACCTTCATCCCACCTTTGGAGGCCCCGGATGTTTTGGGCGGGGGGTTTAAGGGTGTATTCGGTGTAGGGAATAGGGTTCAGGGTTTAGGGTTTAGGGTTTAGGGTTTAGAGTTTAGAGTTTAGGGTTTAGGGTTTAGGGTGTAGGGGCTAGGGGTGGAGGGCGCTTGAGGTGCTGGGCTTAGGGCTTGCGAAGCCTCCTGCATGCTGAGGAATATATTTATAAATCATACTTATGAACTTTCTGTGCCTTAAACTCCTTAGGCATATCCCTGAACCAGGTTTGAATGTGGAGTCGCTGGGTTCAAGAATCAGGAGAACAGTAGGTGGTCCCTTCTCGATCCTTGTATCAGCACAAGCACCATCGAATGGACTCCCTACATTGTAGATCCTCTGTCACCGTGAAGACCCACTGCACCGGCCATATGGCTTGTATCAAACGTATCCTGGGGCTTGCTGGAAGAAGTTCACCTTCAATCGTATTAGGGCTCGCCCTGTTTCTGGACGAAATCGGGTTTATAGGTAGGGTTTGTAGTGGTTCAATCTGCAGCCTCCAGGTACCGGTCAAGGTTCCTGCAGCACAAATTCCGCCCGCCGTCCCGGCTGCGCCCATCGTTCCGGCTGCGCCCGCCGCCCCTGCTGCGCCCGCCGCCCCTGCTGTGGCCGCCGTTCCGGGGCCCAGGAAATGTTTGCAGACCCTACATCTCGAGTACGCCCTCAACGTGATAACCCTGAAGGCCCAAGCCCAAATTCAAGAGAGGACTCCAAAGGCCAGCACTCTATCCAACAGTCTTTCACTTCGAGTTCCGAACAACTGACAATAATATCCATCCATCTTATGACCCCTATATAAGTATAATTTTCAGTATGATTTATATATCACCGAAAATATCCTCTTTGCAGAATACACTCCGCAATCCTGGAAAGAGCCTGCACAAGCCTTCTCCGGCTGGATCTCCGGCGTCTCACTCGGGTTTCGGGTTCGACTGCAGGTTGTGGTCGTTGTTGTTGGTGGTGGTGG